ACAAAAAAAAAAAAAAAAAAAAACAGAGCAAGAAAATCACACAAGCAGCAAGGCGAAAAAAACAGAGAAAAAAAACGACCTCCTTCCGATCGTCCATGGTATCGACTGCAAATTCTCACTTCACAACACAGAAAAGAACGCCGGACGAGAAGACGCTTCAAGCTGCAAGAGGAGAGTTCGAGTTCTGTACTCTGCGAAGAGGAATGCGAGTGAAAGCTTAGAGCAGAAGCGAAGAAGAATCACCGGGCAAGAACACAAAAGAAATAAAAAAGAAAAAGGGTGGAAGCCTGTGTTGAGTCTTTATAGGTCCTCTGAATAGACGATAGTGGGGCTCTCGCGTGCGCAATATTACGATTATGCCACTCGAGCTGTTTCAGTGCGGCCATCGCTGGCTCTCAGGCTTTTACAGTTGTATGTTTAGCCGCACACGGAATAAAATATACATTTATCATGCCGCTTACGCGGCTTACGTGGATTGGATCACTGACCTTATACCAAACGACGTCGTTTCTTCCTTCGTGTAAGATTAAGAAACCATTTTAGTACAATGGTTTAGATTCTTCGAAAAAAATAGGTTGTATTACCAAGAAAAAAAAAACTCTTAATTTTCCTTCATTTAAAAAATATTCCTATTTTTTTTAAATAAGGAAGAGGTATTATTTAGTAATTTAACCAATAAAATAATACTTTAAGTATAATGGTAATATTATGAATTTTCCACGTAAGATAGCTTTGAGGCTAAATGTGTTTATTACCAATGTTTATTGGTATATAATTTTTTTAACCACTTTCCAGATTATATATCTAATAATTCTATTGAAATTTAATAAATGTTTTAAATTATTATTTTATTAATATATTTAAATACTCGCGTCAAAATACTATTCATAATTGGTAAGATTGAATTTATATTAAATCGAATGAAAAAATACGCATTTAATCGTGTAATAACTAAAGTCGAGTAAAATTAGTTTCATAATTTTTTTTTTTCAGAGTTTATATATAGCTTGAAAATGTAGTGTGGACGTCTCCTCTCTCCCAATCAAAACAAGATGAAATTACCAATCATTTTGACATAATAAATACTTCTAGATGATCTTTTATACACTTCATAAGTTAGTTATATATATACACATATATATATATGACCAACGACGACAACAATGAAAGGAAGGAATAAATACGCAAAATAAATAGGCAGGCATGAATATTACATGATTTTATTGTAAGGAGATATTGAAGAGATTGGAAAACCTAAATCCATTTCCCATACTTCACACTAGCGGTCATTTTTCCAACCTAGGCTCGAACAATTATTTTAATTTGAAGTGCTAGAGGATACGATGTAGCGTTGCAATGTGTTATTGTAGCGCCAATAGATAACGACCCTTTATTATAATTTCACAACTATTTTTGATTGAGATGATCCAAAATATAAGGTAATGGGCTATGGAGTACCAAATGAGTCCAATACTCAAACAATTATGGTTAGTCCATGTAACAATTCAAACCCACTATAGGTATTGTCCTATTTGAATTTTTTATTTTAGGCTTTCCCTCAACGGTCGGTTAGGAAAAAGGGAAAGGTTTCCACGTGTTTATAAAGAAGGTTTAATTCTCACTCCCAACCATGTGGAATCTCACAATCCACCCCGAGTTGGGGCCCAACGTCCTCCCTAACATTCATTTCCTTCTCCAATCAATGTGGGATCTCCACAATCCACTCCCTTTTCGGCTCAACGTACTTTTTAGTACACCGCCTCGTGTCCACCCTTTTCGAGGCTTAGCTTCCTTATTGGCACATCACATGATGTCTGACTCTGATGCCATTTGTAACAGTTTAAGGTCACCACTACTAGATATTGTCATATTTGGGACTTTTGAGTTTCCACTCAAGATTTTTAAAACGAGTCTGCTAGGAGAAGTTTCCACACCCTTCTAAACAATGTTTCATTTTCCTCCCCAATTAACGTAGAATCTCATAGTCCATTTGTTACTCAAACTCGATCCATTCTACCCTATTTTGAATTGAAGATGGAAGGTTCATCACAATAATTTTTTAACTAAAAATTCAACCTAAAGTAATGTTTTTTATTAACCAAATTTAGACTAAGATCGAAATTTTATTTATTTTGTTTGTTTCAAGGTGTGAATTGTATGCATATGAAGATTACTAATCAAAGAAAGAAACAAAAAAATCAAGCCGTCAGTAAAGCAAGATACGTGGACAGCAAAGACCCACGAATAAGGTAACACGTGGCGGAACTTCACTGGATGACGTGGACCACGGGAAAGCTTCCTAGCGCCACGGGCACCACAAATCTCATATTTGACGAATTGGGCTTTATCTCTACCACGGGCCACAAAAATGCAATCTTCGCCTTCCTATTTTTCATCACTATTTAAAAACACTCTAATTAATATTATTTATAAAGTGGAATTTTAATCCCTAAAAATAATCTCAATTATCAATAATCTTTTTAATACATATCCGATTTTTGTATTATAAAGAATTAGAGTATAGAAAATTAAAGTATTTAGTGGGTAGGTAAAGAAAATATTTAATAAAATGTTTTACTAAATTTATATTTTTTTGGAAATAAATTAAGTTTATATTAGTATTTATTAAAATATAGAAAAAGAAATATGAATGAATATCCTTATTAAAAATAAAATAAAATTATGGAAAAAAAAAATTAAAATGAAAGTCCAATATCTGGTGAACCGTGGGCTGAATCCTGTTCTCAGTTTGCCATTGAAGGAGCTCGCGCTTCCTTTCCTTATCGCAATCTCCTTTGAGTTGCGAGTTCCTTCGATTCAAGAACCGCGATTTCTTCTATTTCATCTGTATTTCTTGCTGTTTCTTTGATTTCTCAGACATGGACTTGACTATCAAGCTTCATCATCTTCACCTCCGCCCGAGCTTTCTCACCGGCTCACCTCTGTTGGATTCTCGGAAAACTGTATTTGGGGCTTGTCAGCATCAGGTTTCGAATCGAACGGCTGTTCAATCCATTGGAGGTAACTTCAAAAGTATTAGAGCTAGTAGTTTGCCCAATCCTAGAAGAGCGAATTCTAGAGTGGAAGCAGTGGCCGTAGAAGCATCGGTTGCGGAAACTTCGACCAAAGAGGATATTGAATCTTTGTTTTCCAGCGACTCGGCGGATGGATTTGAAGGTAAACGTGTATTTAAACAGTCAAATGCTGGCGATTCTCGAATTTCGTCAGGTGTGAAGCTTGAAAATGTGAGTAAGAGCTATAAGGGAGCGACGGTATTGAAGAACGTGAGTTGGGAAGTTAAAAAAGGTGAAAAAGTTGGTTTGGTTGGTGTAAATGGTGCAGGTAAAACGACGCAAATGCGGATTATTGCCGGTCTCGAAGAGCCTGATTCAGGGAATGTGATAAAGGCGAAGGCAAATATGAAAATTGCATTTCTGAGCCAAGAATTTGAGGTTTCGTTGAGCAGGACAGTGAAGGAGGAGTTTTTGAGTGCATTCAAAGAGGAAATGGAGATAGCATCAAGGTTGGAGAAGGTTCAGAAGGCTTTGGAAACTGCAGTGGAAGATTTGCAGTTGATGGGTAGGCTACTGGATGAGTTTGATTTGCTTCAGCGGCGAGCACAAGCAGTTGACCTAGACGAAGTGGATGTTAAGGTCAGTAAGCTGATGCCGGAACTTGGATTTTCTGAGGAGGACTCAGACAGGTTGGTGGCATCTTTTAGTGGGGGGTGGCAGATGAGAATGTCGCTTGGGAAGATCTTACTTCAGGTATAATCACATGGTAGATCATAATGTAACATTATAAAACTAGTTCTTGCTTATCGTTGACCGTCTGTTTAAATTTTCCAATTGACAAAGCACCTTATTTAGTGCACTATTTTATACCTGTTGTTGGTTATGATATGTCCAAGTTTGGGCATATACCCAGTGAGTTATAATCTTATGCCCTCCGCAGGAGCCTGATTTGTTACTATTGGATGAGCCTACGAATCATCTTGATCTTGACACTATTGAGTGGCTTGAGGGCTATCTCAACAAGCAGGATGTGCCAATGGTTATCATTTCACATGACAGAGCTTTTCTGGATCAGCTGTGTACAAAAATAGTTGAAACTGATATGGGTGTATCGAGAACATATGAGGGAAATTATTCACAATATGTCATTTCAAAGGCTGAATGGATTGAAGCTCAAAATGCAGCGTGGGAGAAGCAGCAGAAGGAGATTGAACATACAAAAGACTTGATTAGTCGGCTAGGTGCTGGTGCAAATTCCGGTCGTGCTTCCACAGCTGAAAAGGTACATAAACATCTTCCACTTTTAGGTATAAGTGTGATAAGATAAGAAACCATGCCATCAGGTTATGTGTATCAGGTGAAATTATGTTCTTAACAACTTGTTCATTATTAGTAGGCACCATTTGAGGTACCCTGTCCTGAAACTTTCTTGCAACAACCAATTTCTTCTTTCCTGCATGAGCTCTGCATGTCTTCTTTTACGCAAATATATAAGACGTTATGTACTTGAAGCATGCCAATTAACTGGAAATTTTGTTCCCTAAAATCACATGTCATGTTCATACTTTCTTAAATGTATGCATAGTTTCCATGAGCTTATTACTTGCTCAAATGAACCTGCATGTTTCTTGCTTTCTTCCTCTTCTTCAAGATACCACTAAAAAGAGTTCATTTGCTTCAATTTTGCACTTTCCACTGTGTGGGAGTCTTAATATCTATGTTGGGTGGGCCAAATTCTACTTTCAGCAACCTCATATATTCTCCTAACAGCACTCTACTGTTCTCTCTCTCATTCTCTTTCTTAACAACAGAAATTGGAGAGGCTTCAAGAAGAGGACCTTGTAGAAAAGCCATTTCAAAGGAAACAAATGAAGATTAGATTCCCCGAGCGTGGGCAGAGTGGGAGATCTGTTGTAGCTATAAAAAATTTGGAATTTGGCTTTGAAGATAAGGTGAGTTAATGAAGTTTTATAAATATTAATGAGGCTTCAGGGTGATTGGGTATTTTTCAATGTAATATTCTTCATATTCATATATAATTTTTGGTTTTGGTGTGGCAGCAGTTGTTCAGTAAAGCAAATCTTATCATTGAAAGGGGTGAGAAGATTGCCATTCTTGGCCCAAATGGATGTGGAAAAAGTACACTACTAAAATTAATAATGGGTTTGGAAAAGCCAAAAGGAGGTGAAGTTCTGCTTGGGGAGCACAACGTGTTGCCTAACTATTTTGAACAAAATCAGGTATGCTTCAGTTAGTCGTACATCACACCTATTGATCTATAA